TCCCAGAATCCCAGCCCCCAGACTCCCAGAATCCCAGCCTCCAGCCTCCCAGAATCCCAGCTTCCAGCCTCCCAGACTCCCAGCCCCCAGACTCCCAGAATCCCAGCCCCCAGACTCCCAGCCTCCCAGAATCCCAGAATCCCAGCCCCCAGACTCCTAACCTCCCAGAATCCCAGAATCCCAGACTCCCAGCCTCCATCCTCCCAGCCTCCCAGGATCCCAGCCTCCCAGCCCTCAGCCTCCCAGACTCCCAGCCTCCACCCTTTTTCATATTGTGCATGTACCACACACTAAACCATGTGCATCCATCACACATACCAGACCCCGCATCCCGCGTGACTGCCACACCCACATACACAAACACACCGAACCACACCCCCCAGCACGTCAAAGACCACTCCAAAGCTCTCATGCACGCACACCACACACATGCAGTTTCTAGGCCTCCAGGGCTCACACACAGGACAGCATTTGACAAATCAGTGCTCTCCATGGAATCATTGTATTCAACTTAATAAACTATTTTCTTTAAAAGGGTAAAAACCCACTGTCACCAGCAATGATAAAAATCCCTAGTGATAATTTCTTCATGACTACTGGATTGAATTTGAAAGTCATATTAATAGCTCTTTGAAGTTCAATGGCATCTACTAATAATCCTGGTGGATGACACATCAGATCATCAGAAACCCCAGGTAATTTCCTGAGGTCTGTGTCACCAGAGAGAAGGCACTGATCTGTCATCTGCACAAAGTCGTGGTGAGTGGCTTGAACTGAGAAACGCTTCGTTTCACCGGCCAGTGGGGCCCAAAGACAAAGATCTGGTTGCGTGCGATGTCCACACGGTTCCACGCCAGCGCCAAGCTCAGCTGGTCTGGTGCCGAGGCGTTCGTTCCTGAGAAGACAAGAAGCAAGAGGGATTTCTCCTCGGTGCCTGGACTGCGTGGCCGGGCTGGGCAGTGAGCATCGGCTTCCCTGGCCGGCTCAGGCAGCCTGGAACTGGGGCCCTGCTCCTGCCACAAAGCAAAGGGCTGCCTGGAGGCAGACGGGAGGCAGCCTCTTCCCATGCAAGCTTGGAAGAAGCAGAGAAGGAAACCTAACACAGGGCACCTACTTATGCAAGAGGGTAGGTGCCCTGAGTTGGCATAGATACCCCCAGGCCAAGTTAAAGGGAGTTGCCTCCCACGGCAAGCAGGCTCCCTGCCTGCAGGAGGCCCGCACAGCGCTGCCTGGCCAGCCCAGAGAGAACCCCAAGACTTTCTTTCTCTGCCCTTTCACTGCCCCAGCCCTCATGGTCCCAGTATAGCTGAGAGACAAGGAGGAAGGGCCCATCTTGAATGACTCATGGTTGACGGGGCAGAGGGGTAGCCTTACTGCTCAGGGCTCTCTCACCAACAGACCCCACCTGGCAGCAGAAGAGAGTTACCACCCTCCACCAGCCATGTCCCGGGCTAGGCCAGGCTTGAAACGACACCCACGCACTCACCTTTCAACAGGGCGCTTAAGATGGCCATCTCCATGTCCTGCTGACCTGCAGCACCCATGCTAAACACGGTCACCTGAAAACACATTCACCAAGAGAAGACCGAGTCAAGTCAAGTTGGAGACAAGGAGAATGGGGGAGCTTTCTAAAAATGACCCCGGAGACAGGCACTAGGCAGTGATTCCGGACTTCAGCTCAAGACAGCAAACCAGGTGCTTTTGATTTCCAAAGTGACAGCATGACTCATCTTGCCCTTGAATCTGTGCCCAGAGCCTCAGAGATGAGGGAGCGCCTTCAGGATCACACTCCAATGCCTAAATTGCTACCAGAGATGACAATCACTTCTACTCAGATCCGATATGCTGGCAGGAACGGTGGAGATGCAGGATTTTGCAGCAAAGGTGCCTGTTCCTCCAGGAGGTCCCAGGAGGCAGGAAGGGAGGTGATGCAGCGTTTGGAAAGTGATGCAACAGGATTTTGTAAGACAACTACAGGCCGGTGTGCCTCGCTCTCACCAGTGCTTCCATCCGGCTAATATTACGAACCCACAATTGGCATGGTGTGGTAGGCCGTCACCCCTTTCCTAAGGTCTCAAAGGACCTGGCCCTCCTCTGTTTGTTCTGCCCCCATCCTGTGGACCTGCTGTCTTGGGAGGGAGTTGTCAATGCCTCCCCGACAGGCTGAGCTGAAACAGGAACAGCTCCATCATGCACACATGGGCAGAGTTAGCAAGGAAATATAATTCTCTCTGTGGAGTTTGTTTGGAAATAAACTCAAGACACTTACGAGTTCTTTCTTTTTCATGCACTCCATTATAATTGCAAACAGCTGATGTGATTGTGTCTTGTTGTAATTAAACGTTTTCTGAATGGTAACTAGAAGCTGATCCTTGAGGGACTCATTTATGACCCTGTTTCAAAGGAAATGCAAAAAAAAAAAAAAAGGAAAACAACATGAATTAAATCTGTACAGGAAGAAAGCAGACGTCTCTATGTCCGTCTGGCGTCTTTGGTTTCAAACTTTACCATGGGAGGCTATCCTGGGAGATAAAAATGGACTGTGATCAGAAACTGGGTCCCCACTTGTCCAGCTCACTGAAAACCTTACAACGGAAATGAAACTGGAAAGGAGTGTCTCTCTCCAAGGAAAAAGCTCCGTAAGAAACATCATGTCTTGGCCCTCCCTGGTGGCTCGGTGGGTTAAAGCACAGCCCTAAGAAGCTAAAGCCACTTCCACATGAGTTCGATTCCCGCCTGCCCCGGAGGTGACCACATGGCGTGGCAGACCTCTCCTGACCCGCCCGCTGCTCCCCTCAGCAGTGGACTTCGTCGATCAGCCTGTTCTGCTCCCCGCTCTGTCTCTGGTGAAGTCTTTCACCGCCCCTGAACCTCTGGCCTGTACCCCAGTTCTGTATGCACAAATAAATAAATCTTAAAAAAAAAAAAAAAAGAAACATCATGTCTTGACAGCTCCCTTTCATGCAGACTTTGGGGGTGGGGAGGGGCCTAGTTCCATATTTGTTTTGGAATGGCAAACCAGTCTGAGGTGCTCCCCCTGGCCTCACACAGAGGCCGTGCAGCCCACCCTCGGTGACAGGAGAAATCCTACCCTCCTCCTTCGCTGTACTTGTGTGCCAACGACAGGATGTCCGAGGCTCGTCCGCTGCCGTCACAAACCACCACAGGCACAGGTGGCTCTTCCCGGAGGTACTCCAGCACGACTGACACCACGTTGGGGCCCCCTTCCACCACCAGGCCCACCGTGGGCACTCCCTGCCCCAGCCCTGCAACACCAACCACATTCGCCCTTCAGCCCAGAGTCCTGGCCCCTGTCACACGCTTGACAGACGCTCTGAGCCTGGACGGCTGCTCCCTATGGCGTCTGTGTTGGCTTGAAAGTATTCAGGCCTGGGCATAGTGTCTGCTTCTTATTCAAGCGCCCTATGAAGGTCTCACTGAAAAGGCTGAACCTGAAAATCACCAACTCCCTGCATCCTTTGAGGCTGACCTTCACGCACCCCTCACCTGGCCAGAGAGGAGAAACGTTGGGAGGGGCGGTCTGGGAGAAAATACCTCTTGGCTTCCTGCCCCAGAATTTGAAATCCTGCCCCTGATGGTTGTCCCTTCAAGAAAGACACCGACAAGGGGAGCAGTGAGCTCCATTCCTGTCCCCTCCCGTGTTAACTCTGCCACACTGGGTCAATCACCCAGCCACTGAGCCGAGGATGACCCCTGTACCAGGCGAACCATCACAAAGCCTCTTTAGCTCCTAAAGATGCAATAGATATAAGATGCAAAAAGTAAAGTGCAGCTATCAAAGCACTTTGTGAACCTAAGGGCATATAGGTGTGGTGTGTTGCTGTGTTACTGTTTCTCCCTTCAGTGCCTGGCATAGCCGTGAGGTATCTGGCCAGGCAAATGCAACGTCTACCGCAAGCCTATTAGTTCACAGCTTATTCCCAGAGGCCTCCCTCTGCCTCCATCAGACCACAGGACTCCTGGGGATGTGGCAGGGAAAGTTAGCTCACAGCAGAACCAGCAGGATGGGCTCTGTGGAGCAGGGGAAAGCAGAGGATTCCAGGAGCCTGGGATTCTGGAGAGAGAAGACAATGGGGATGGAGGAACCAGATACAGATTTGCCTATTTCAAAATTTACCACCCGCTGGTCATGACAGGTTGTGTTTTGAGTATGTTTATCAGGTGACTGTTAGCTGTGATGAGACTTAGCTGGTCAACATTAATAAATGACAAATTAGGAATGTGTGTGGTCTCGGTTCTCAGCCGTTCAGATACCATCTACCAGCGTTCATTAGGAGATCTGAGCATTTCAAGTTGGGGGATTCACAGCTGGTTTGCCCTGGGTTCAGTTTGCTTTCATGATGCATGTCTACAGTCAGGAGCGCTTAAATATTTAAGCAACTTTTCTGTCTCCAACCAAAATAACCTCAGCTCAAGTTCTTTTCAGCAAGTGTGCATTGAGAGTCAGTCCTGGAGGGAGATACTGGCTTTGAGATTCCTAACCCCACCCAGGCAAGGCTTGGGATTCTGCAGTAGAATCTAGAAGAGTAGGTTTGGTTCATCTTGGTTTTGGTTTGCACCTCCCCCCACGCACCCCAAAGCTCTGTGCTGGGAGAGATGACAATTGGGCACCCCTTTGCTATCCCTGCCACACTCAGAGCTCCAGGCAAAGGATGACAAAGGGAAACCCACAAGTCACGTGGCCAGGAAGTTGGACAGTGTGAAAGCATGCAGGAAAATAAAAAAATGTGAGACCTTAAAACTCAGTCATCAGTGGAGGTCTGATTCTTGGAAACCCAACACTTCCCATGGAGGTTTTGCCTGATTTAATCCCCATGTGGTCTCAAGGTCCCTTTCATTATGCTCCCCAGTTCCTTTAATTATGCTTCATAATAACCATTTCTAGACCTAGATTGTCTTTCTTAAAAATCGTACTAGTGGCCCTCCCTGGTGGCGCAGCGGGTTAAAGCACTGCTTTGATTAGCTAATGCCTTTTTTGTTTGATTTCGTTTCCCGCCTGCCCCGGAGGTGACCACATGGTGCGGCAGACCTCTCCTGACCCGCCCGCTGCTCCCCTCAGCAGTGTACTTCGTCGATCTGCCTGTTCTGCTCCCCACTCTGTCTCTGGTGAAGCATCTCGCCGCCCCTGAGCCTCTGGCCTGGACCCCAGTTCTGTATGCACAAATAAATAAATCTAAAAAAAAAAAATCATACCAGTAATGATAAAAACAAAATCCTCTCTAAGACCAGTTAACAGTTGTTTAACACTAAGAGTTGTTGGAGTGTGAGGATGTTCCCAGGGGCGACACTAATTGAGTTCTAACTGGTTGTTATTGTGATTTTGTCTGGTGGAGGTTTGCTCCTTTCTCTTTAGTTTGACCTCAGCATTTCCCAAGGACGGCTGCTCCCCAGGAAGGCTTGTGCCCTGGGCCAGCTTGGGTGGTGCCCCTCGGGACACATGGGTCCCCAGTCCTCTTCAGATAAGCCTCGCCTGGCTTACCTTAGTCTGGGTGAGAGACCCAGAACTACAGAAATATTAAATATAATGATCACATAAGCAATAATTAGCTGATAAAAGGTGTCACATTAAGTCTGTGGGAAAATTATTTTTCTTATTCAAACATTTTTAAAAAGACACTAATTACAGGGAACTAGAAACTTGGGGTGATCTTGTAAGCATGAGAGCTGTGGGAGAGCTGTCTCTTATGTCGACCTTCTGTAAGAACTTGGGAATTTGGGGAAACACATCACAAGTTCAATTGTGTGACTTGGTAGGAGGGTAAGGCCCAGGATCTAGGTAAATCTTTCAGATGTATCATATATATATATATATATAATATATAAATGTACCAGAAATATGTGTATATTTTTTGGCTAGCACCTAGATAAGTCAAATAATGTGACTTTTTGCACACTTATTATTTCTTAGAAACATGGGATCTATTTGTCTTCCATTAAAGCTGATTTCAATTTTACTATCTATTTTTGGATGGAAGCCTATCACCCACATTCTCTCAGGTTCTCTGAGACGATTGGTTAAATGAATCTACCTCATCTTCCTTTTTTTTTTTTTTTTTTTGCTCATCTTTTGCTATCTCGTTCCAAAGGATTTGAGGTAACTGCTCTCTACCTGGGATGTCTCCTAACATAGGTATTTTATAAAAATCTAAAAGACGGCCCTCCCTGGTGGCGCAGTGGGTTAAAGCACTGCACTAAGAAGCTTAAGCCACTTCCGCATGAGTTTGATTCCCGCCTGCCCCAGAGGTGACCACATGGCGTGGCAGACCTCTCCTGACCGCCCGCTGCTCCCCTCAGCAGTGTACTTCGTCGATCTGCCTGTTCTGCTCCCCACTCTGTCTCTGGTGAATCCTCTCACCCTCCACATCTCTGGACTGTACCCCAGTTCTGTATGAATAATTAAATAAATCTTTAAAAAAAAATCTAAAAGACAATTGAAAATGGTACATCAGAATTTCAACAAAAATTTACAAGATAAAATTTTAACTGTTGCAATGAAGCATTAAGCTCACCCGCTGTTCTCCCATCATGAGTGCTTACTTAGGATCCTTGCTGATCTAACCTGTAAGTCATCTCTTGCTGATCTAACCTGTAGCTTCAAGAGTGAGGCTTTACACACCCCTGGGCAATCCCCTTTTTCTTTGTTTCCCTGGAGGTGCAGCATGCTGTGACCCCAGACCTTCGCCAGGACTTACTTGTATTGATCTTCTGCAGAGACACGTGCTTCTCCAGCTGCCTCCGCAACGTCACCTCGGCACCGTACTTGCCCAGAGTACCATTGTCGGCCAGGATGAAGTGAGTGTGGGAGTTGTTGAGCACAGAGAGCTTACTGAGAGGGTTGGACATGGTCTGATAAACTCTCGTTACCTGAGAAAATGCACAACACAAGTCAGAGGAGCAGACCCGAGACCTAAGATTACTGGGGAAGTAAGAAGACCACGCACTCGTACTGTGAATGACTTCACTTAACTTCCTTTCACCTACGCTCACCCCCTCATCTTCTCCACTGAAGGGTATTTTTTTTTTGCAATTTTTATATTAAAATAGGAATAAGATTAGTTAAAATAGGACAATACAGCGTTTTAGAGAATGTGACCTCGTGATTCCACTCCTTGGCGTTGGTTGAAGAGAAATGAAAAGTTATGTTAACACAAAATCCTACGCATGAATGCTACAGGCCGTCTTATCTGTAATAGCGAAACTAGAAGAAACCAGATATCTTTCAATATATAAATGCTAAATGAACTGTAGCAATACCATGGCCATACCACTCAGTGGCAAAAACAAACACACTGTTATGTGCACGCCAATCTGGATGGATCTCCAGAGAATTATTTGGAATGAAGAAAGTCAGTCCTCGAATGTTACATAAGGTATATTTCACTTATAAATATATTTCAGTTATATAATATTCCTGAAATGATAAATTATAGAGATGGGGGCTATATTAGTGGTTGCCAAGGGTTACGGAGGGTGTGGCAGTGGGAGGACATGAGGTATGGATATTTGAGAGCAGGGACAAGGATCCCTATGGGATTGGGTATCCTGCATCTTGATTGATTGATGTCAATATTCTGTTGCAATGTTGTACCATAGTTTTGCAAGATGTTAGTATTGGAGGGAAGGTAGAAGGTCTATAGGGCCTCTGTATCAACTGCTGGTGAATCTACAATTATTTCAAAATAAAGATGGTAACTTTAATACATTGCCGATGTCTTGGGAGACAACACTTACGTCCTTTCCAATCAGGTCTTCCTTATTCTCCACAATGCCCCAGGGAGCAATTCCTATAGCACAAACCCGGCCTCTGGACTTGGAGGAGTGGTCTTTCAAGGCGTCCCCTACGTGACTGATGACACCTGCAAGCAACCACAAGTCATAGTTCTAGGCCCTTTCGCTATCCAATCACACCGCTACTTCGGGACTTTAGGAATCCCTTCTCTGTGATACTACAGAATAGTGTTCAGACATAACGATCTTCATCATTAGGAGCTCTTACTTTCTAGTCATCTTGCATTGGTTCAGGAGAATGAACTGTGCAGGGATTTCTTTTACAAGTTTCCAAAACCTAAGGATGGAAGAAACTGGGTCCCTTTGGGAGTCCTTGGTCGAATTCAGCTCAAGTTGGCAACCAGGCATGTTCCTTGGCCTCTCTGGACCTCATGTGCCTCTCATCTGCCCGGGAAATGATTGTACAGAGGCTTGATGAAGTTGAAGCTTATACAATTCAGAGGATGACCAGTAGTGGGTACCAGAAGTGTTGATTGATCACGGCTCTCAAAAAACCAGCTACTGAATAAGGAACTTGCTTCTTCTGTCATAAACTTTACAAGAAACATCATGTTTTGTATTTTCATCTAAACAATTCAACAGCTCTTTTGAGAACCACAGAATTCTGGGCTTCTATACTTGCAGTGAAGGAAGAGGCTTGTCTTACCAGTACTGACACCCCCCGTGAAGATCCAGGCTCCAGTGGTCATGGCAGCTTTGATCAGGCCTTTCCCAAAGACCTGTTTCAGCTTGGGCTGCATTTCAAAGTTCTGGAGGCCTCCGTGCACAGATATTAAGAGTTTTGGGAGTTCCAGCTGCCACTCTTTCACCATGAGATGTAGCAGTAAATCTGGCGTGGTGTCGTAGGACACGCGGATATACTGTAACAGAGGGTGGGACAATAAGCAACAGTTCTTGGTTTGGTATCCAGGGGAACAATATTTTCATCCCTGTCCAAGAGCAAGCTGGCTTTCTCTCACTAGGTCTTCTGGGGTCCTCTGTGTGAGTCTGTGGCCAAATGATGGAAGGAAATCTTGGAAGAGTTAACACATTCAGAAAATGATAATCAAGGATGTCCTATTATATTTTAATTTTATATGAACAACAAAAGTGTTTCTGCCTAAGTATTGTCTTGTGCACATTTGAGGCATAACATATCACAAAATTATCTGTTGTTTAGCTGAAATTCAGAGATAATTGGTTATCCTGTATTTCATCTGGCTAATTGCAAATGGAATGGACTCTAAAGCTGGCTCAGCTAGAACTATGGCCCTAGAGACTGGACAGGATGTAGCTGAGGGAGTGACTGACAGGAAGGAGGTGGGGGCCTATCTCTGAATTTGACCCTCCTTTCAAGGTGAAGAAGAGGCCAGATGCCCTTCGAGTGTCTATCCTATACATTGTGTGCCATTCCAGAAGACCATATGTGCTAGTATTTGGAACTCTACTGAATTTTATTTGAACAATATTGTTGGGCAACTTACATAAAATGAAATTATAGAAAATGGCCTGATAGCCAAGTGGGAGTGCCATTCAGAAATAACTGAAAGGAATCAGTGCTGAAGCTGCCCCTCTCTGGCAGTCAGGGTTCAACAGAAAGGCAGAGCAGACACCTAGTTATATGCAACTCTGAAGACATGGATCTTTTCTGGCCAGCTGAACACAGACCCCGGGAGACTGTGGATGGACTTCAGAGGACAATATTTCCAGACACACTTCACTCATCTAAGAGAGTTTGAAGGTGCGCAGTCACAACAAAAACCCCACAAAGAACTCCAAAAAGCAAGAAACATGATTTCTCTCTGGTCACTGGAAATGGAATATGGTTGGAATGGAGAGTGATTTGTGGATTCAGGACTTGGGGGGAGATTTAAGAGACACTATATCTTCCCCCGATATTACCCGGTTTTTAGAAACTGGGAAAGCTGTGATGCAGATACATATCTTGTCTTGCAATGAACTATCTAGGGTTACTGAGCAACACCCCGCAAGAATAAGTAGCTGCAGCCTGGAGTCCAGGAGGTGGGGCCCCCGATGGAGGCTCCTGCTCAGCCACATCCCATCTCTTACCATGGCTTTATTGGAGTATCCACCACCCTGGAACTCAAGCACCCCGTATGAATCTGTCGGGCAGCTTTGGGTGTGTTTGCCGGCAGTCCATTTTTCTGGCTGAGTCTCCACCTGCTCGTTCTCTTCATTTTTGCTGGCCGTTACACTCGCCAGCGGGGGAATGTGCTGGTTGGTGAACTGACCACAGCAGCATCTGAAAACAACGGCAAAGCACACTCTTTCTATAATATATTCCTCCTTTCCCTTCCCTCCTCGCCCCCATGAGCTAAGACAAATTAACCTGAACAGGTGAGAAGCACCTGAACAGAGGCACGCTGACACCTGACTTACCCAGCTTTATTGGGTACAGAAATGGCCCCTGTGGGGGCTTTTTCCAGATAATCAATGCTTATCTATTTACATACCAGTCTATTTTATTAAAGCTTTGTTTATTTATGCATACAGAACTGGGGTACAGGCCAGAGGTGTGTGTGGGGGGTGAGAGGTTTCACCAGAGACAGAGTGGGGAGCAGGACAGACAGATGTACGCTGCTGAGGGGAGCAGTGGGCAGGTCAGGAGAGGTCTGCTGTGCCCTGTGGGTCACCTCCCTCCTGGCCAGCAATCGAACTTGTGCTGCAGTGGCTGCTATAGCTTCTTAGTGCTGTGCTGTAACCCGCTGTGCCAACCCCAGGGAGGCCCATACCAGTCTATTTTAAACATACTGACCTACTGTCCTTCTTTACTGAGCAAATTTTAACTCTTCTGATGTCTGACAAAATAACTACAGGCATCAGCTATTGAACATTCTATGACAATGAGGCTCATCATTGAGTTCAGCATCCGAAGAGTTTTTAATATTGTTAATTCTTCTCTTGGTTAGTGGACAGTGAGGTTGAAAGTACCAGGTGTGCCTTGAACAGTTGGCCACTGGGCCCCCACCTCAGCATCAGGGGTTGAACTTCTGTAGGTTTTCTGCAATGTGTACTTCTTCACTTGCTATTGACCCTTGGGATGATTCCAGATTTTTAAAGCCCACAGAGAATGAAAGAAACTCATAAGGGGATATCATTTGAGAGTCTCTGAAATCCTTTCTACACTTTCTGCCTGTCCTATTTGGGAGCCTGGATGCTGCCAGGTCTCAGGAGGGCTTGCATGGATAGTCTCCATCAAGAGGCCTACGTGTCACTGACATACAGAGGGACACTGAGGGACAACAGAAAGAAGACTTTGGTGGACATTGACATTGCCCCATATGGCATTTCTTGCCTTGGGGGGTAACTATGAGGGTTTAAGTGGGGAGAGCCATGGAGTGGGACATTGGAGGAAGAGCTGAACCAAGCGATCTCTGAAGACTGCGCTTGGTATCAGTGGTCTTTCCTGCATGGGTGTTATTGGGTGAACATATGGCCAAACCAGCCTCATGCCCCTCAACCTCAGCCTCATGGTGTTTGCCATCAAAGATGAGGAAGTTTTGCTAAATTCATCTTAGATCATTTTTATGACATTAGAAAGTTTTCCCGTTGGTTTATGAAAGATACATTTTTTATAGGTGGATGAAATGGCTTGACATTTAGTGCACAAAATAAGCTCTTTCATAAAGTCTTGTCTCATTCACTTAATCACTCAGATATTTCTTGGCATGGAAGTTCTTCATCCAAATTATGAAACTCTATCAAAGTTGCCTAGAAAGTGCCCTGGAAATCTTTCTAAACAGTTCAGCTCCTTGATCTCATTGAGGCTAAAGGGAGCGCTGTGAGCCCATGTGGTTAGGAACACTTCCTTCAGCGTGGGCGGCAGGCAGCCGCTCTCTCAGCTTTCTCCATCTTCAGAGCTGGTGTATTCATCCAAGAGACTCTGGGGCTCTCCAGCTAATAACCCAAGTGGGAAATAGATTCTGGCTCTCCTTCTGGACTCTTCCTCCCTCTCTTACAAATGTTGGAAGAATATTTGTCGGGCAACTGGTGGACAAGTATTGATTGGGATGATGATTTAATGATGCTGTTACCTGTTAGGGTCTTTAGTGCTGGGAATTAAAAAGATACATTCTCGCTTGCAAAAGGTCTTCTCTATCCAAGGTTTCTGACTCTGGAAGACAGGGGGAAAAAAAAAAGAAAATTAGACATATTCTCAAGCCATCTTCAGAAGTCATTGTTTCACTTTTATAAAATTAATCTCACTGGGCCCTCATTAGTGGCGCAGCGGTTTAAAGCACAGCACTAGAAGCTAAAACCATTTCAGCATGAATTCGATCCCTGCCCCACCCGGAGACGACCCACAGGGCACAGGCAGACCTCTCCTGACCGCCCCCTGCTCCCCTCAGCAGTGGACTTCCTCTATCTGCTCGTTCTGATCCGCTCTGTCTCTGGTGAATCCTCTCACCGCCCCTGAACCTCTGACCTGTACCCCAGTTCAGTATGCGTAAATAAATAAAATTTTTTATAAAGATTTATTTATTTGTACATACAGAATCGGGGTACAGGCCAGAGAACTCAGGGGCGGTGAGAGGCTTCACCAGAGACAGAGTGGGGAGCAGAACAGGCAGATCGACGAAGTACACTGCTGAGGGGAGCAGCGGGCGGGTCAGGAGAGGTCTGCCGCACCATGTGGTCACCTCCGGGGCAGGCGGGAATCGAACTCATGCGGAAGCGGCTTTAGATTCTCAGTGCTGTGCTTTAACCCGCTGCGCCACCAGGGAGGGCCAATAAATAAAATTTTTAAGAAAATTAACGGCACTAGCAGGAAGTCTGCCTGAATATCTGAAGAAACACCACTAATTGTGCAATTCAATAGATAAGTCCTTAAGGATCTTAGCCCTGGTTCATGTTAAGAGAAATAACTCAGAAATATGTATCCATGGTTCCCGTTGGGCTACGAAACCTAAGGTCTGCCAAGAGGAAGATGCTCCCTACTCCCGCCCCTGACCCGGGAGAAGCGCCACTCCACGATGTGGCGATGTGTGTGTGCTGTGCGCTGCGCATGCGGCGTGTCTGTTAGGCACTGTGTGATGTGTGCATGGCATACGCGTGTGCGTACCTCGGGTGGAGTGGGGTGTGCTGGCAGATGCAGGGATGGGGAGCCCTAGCGCTGGAAGCCCGGAGAAGCAGGTTTTGGAGAAACCATGGCGGACAGAGCCTCATATCCCCGACCATCTTCCCCCCACCTCTGGGGGGCCTCCCAGTGGGACCTGTGACCAAGGTGTGGAGTGGACGAAGCTCAGGGGTCCTGCCAGCCCCCACCTCCTCCAGCGCGGCAGTGCTGCTCTGGGGACTCTGCAGAAGTCACTTCCTGGGCAAGCTGCAGCAATCCAGTGTCCCAGAAGCCCCTTTGGGAGGTCATGCAAGGACCCGATAGTGTGTTTCTCGCTCTACAGATTGCCCTGGCCTTCGTCTCAGTCATGTAGAGACAGTGGGGGTGTCCATGTTTCCAGAAGGACTTGCCAGCCCCACCCAAACTGAGCCTTTCTGGATACATCTCTGAGTCGGCTGGCCACTTGGCTTCTTTTTGAAATAGAATGATGGTCATTCAAAACCTCCCCTAGGGTCAGTCAAAAAGCAACACCATACATTTTTCTCTCCAAATAATTTAATAACTGCTTGAAATACTACGTGGCTAATGAGAGAAAAGCAGGGAACAGCCGCCCAGCAAGGCTCTAAAATCCTTGCCCCACCCCTTCTTCTGTGGAATGTCATGACGAGCTGGAGCAAAATTGCTAAGCAGAGCATTTGCTGTCTGGGGGGAAAATATGCTTTCCCTTTTGTATTTCACTCCTCACTTTCCAAAGGGGCTGGGAGAGTGTATTAAAAAAAAAAAACAACAGCAACAATGGATTCTGGCTTTTAGACTATGCGTCTTGAAGTGAAGACAATAAGAATTTCAAATACATATTGAACAGTTATGGGCAGGCTATTTTTTCACAGAGACATTGGTCTGTGGTTCTGAAATTACTGCACTGAACAAATAAATCAGTGTCCTGTGGATGATTGGGAGCTGCGTTTCTCACTTTGAAGGGAGCTACAGGTGTGGAATGTGGAGAGGGTTAGCATGAATCCTGTAGCTAAGGACTGAAACTGAAGTTATCAGACTGAATTCATGGCTTGCAGAGGTGGAGATGGATATAAAAACACAGAGCGAATCGAGTGTGTGATCCCTCAACACATGGGTGTCTGTACAGATAACACACATCATACTAGTTATCTGTTGCATAACAGAACAAATCACCCCAAAACATAGTAACTCAAAACAATGAGTATTTATTATCTCACAGTTTCTGGGGATGAAGAAACTGTCAATATGTCAGTCGGGTCTCTCACGGGGATTTGATCAAGCTGAAGGAGAGTCCTCTTCCACAGTCACCTTGGCATATGGAACTAAGACTAATTGAAGCCCTGAAAGCTGATACCATGCTCTCAAAGGATAAAGATCACCCAGATTAGGGTCATCTCCAAAAATAACCTTTTATCAGAGCGACCTATCGCAAGGCGGGGCAAAATTACAGAACATCTGTTTTTGTCATATGAGTAAACTTCTACTCATCATGTGAGGCCAACTCATGTCCAGGCTCCTGGCCCGTTCCTTAACTCAAGTATGTAAGCCAGTCTGTTCCATTTACTCTAGAATTTACAGCCACGCGAATTCACTATGCATACTTAATTAATTTCCCACCCCAAACAACCCTTTTGATGTTACTTTGTTCACTTAACCAGCCCAAGAAGAACCCAGGGGGCTGCATCTTACAAAGCTGGAGGTGGGCGCGTTCGCATCTGAAACACTTGACCCTGACTGGAGAACCTCCATTTCCAAGTTCATCTGCACGGCCTTGGTCTCAGTTCAGTTCTTCTTGGGGTGGCTGGGCAAGGCCTCCCTCAGCTTTTTGGTCATGGGATGTCTGTGCAGGGTGGCAGGCAATGTGCCAGCAGACCTCCATCTACGTGAAGGAGAGTGGGCACCCCAGACAGAAGCTACTGTCCCTCTGACCTAATATTGGGTAGGGATGTTCATGGGTTTTTATACAAGGAATCCAGGAGTCCTCTGCATTCCTGGCTGATAGCAGTGCACCCAGTGGCTGCGATCCACACAACAATCCCACAAGACACGAACATCTGGAGGCTGGTATGCACCTACTCGGTGCTCAGATACTGGTTTCTAAGGATCACTCTCCACTAAAAGGAAGCAGATCTCCTTGGAGAAGTGACTGAAGCCAGGCCTAGGCAGGGAAAGTAAAAGAAAAAAACCTGGAACATCTTACTGTGCCAGAAAATAAGGAAGTGTTTGCTTTTGACAAGGGAACTTGCCAAGAGGCTATGTAGGGGCTTTGAAGGGTGCGGGGCAGGGCTTTGGCCGAGGCAGGAGCGCGAGGCAGTTCCACAGAACTGAGGGGTTGCTGAGGTCAGGCCAGCCTTAGTTGACGCAATGACCCTATTTCTTGCTCCAAAATTAACAGCAAACCCCCACAGTGAGGTGATTTGTAGACCGATTTAGCTAGAAGAAACTGCTGGTCTCCTGTGTCTACTTTGGGCAGACACCTCAATGCTAGCTGTGGCCTTGGCTTGACCTTGGAGAGGAGTCAGCTGCCATGATTAACTGAGAGGAAGATTACATGTGAACATCTTGGGTTTTGGCTCGGAGTCCCTGGAGGTGGAAACTCCTGCTGACTTCCCCACATGGCTGCAGGTGGCTGTGGGTCCCCACACACTTCAGGACCTGCCTGGCCCCCTGGGGCAGCACCTGCGGACCTGGAAACTCTCCATGCCAGAGAATAAACAACTCTGGACAAAGCACAGAGCAAAACTACTCATTTTTGTGTGCACAAAGGATTAAAGCTCACCAGGTTCCTTCTGACTTCACCCTCTATCCTCACCACTGCGGGAGGCCTGGCCTGAAGCCAGCAGCCCTTGCTGGGGGTCTCTGCCCCTGGCCTCCCACCACAGCCCTGCACTGGAAAAAAAAAAAAAAAGCAGGCGGGAACCCCAGGCTGAGGACCCTCTGTCCAGAACCAGCTAGTCGCTGACCTAGTTTTCACATCTGCAAGCTGATGTCACAAGGTGAGCCTGGAAGGCACAGAGCCTGGAAGGGACTTGAGACCTGCTTCCTGGGCTTCCTGGGCACAGCCCTCAGGGAGGGACTGGCTGGCCTGCAGAGCTAGAAAATCAGTTGTTTTTTCAGCAGGATTTCTATGACATTGCACAACAAAGGATGAAATACTTCACTTAGAAGTTTCGATACTGACTGCATGTTGAAATGATATTTTGAGTATCTTGAGTTCCATGAGCGTTTAGAATTGACTTCACTTACCTACTTTTACTTTGAAAACATGATTACTCCACAATTCAAATTTGGTGTGTGGGGCTGAGAAGCAGGCACTGCTGGGCTCGAAAGATACAGACTAGGAATCACAAGCAGGGCCAGTGGTGGGCCGGGGAGTTAGGGGAGATGGCCCGTAGGAGCGTCCCTTGGCTCTTGGCAGGATTTTTTTACTTGTCAGATGAACATATTATGTTTACTATGATTCACAAACAATGCTACCCCTTCTGTGGTCCTGGCCCGCCTGCTTCCCACCTCACCATATGTGACTAATTTTCCTGCGGCAACGCCCTCCGGGGAAAGCCCAGGGCCGCTGGACAGAGGCCATCAGCCAAGTCAGCTACTTTCACCTTGGGGCAGACCAGCCATGACCAACAATGGGGGGGCCGCAGGGGACACACAGAACCCAAGGCCCCAGCAGCTGGGACAGGAGCCATCTGTGCTGACATCGGCTTGTTTCCCTAAAGCCACCTCTGCCTTGTCGGCCATGCTCACCTCAGGCGGGTGACCACTGGAGACAGTTTCCAGAAAAGAGCAAGGTAAATGCAACCTGACAAGAGCCTGAGGAGAGGGCTTCTGCGTGTGATGTGTGTCTGGGGCAACGGCCCTGTTTCCTGGCCCTGGCCACTCCCAATGGGCGTAGTGATTGGTCCACTCATTGCAGAGTCCAGCAGGAGAGCAAGTGAAAGCAGGTGACACGTGACAGGAGCTGTCACCACTGATGACCACATCCCTCTGGCTACTGTTCTGGTAATGGAGGTTTCAAGACACTGAACTCCATCCAT